CACACACACACACACGCACGCTTTCTGGCCTCTTAATAGCCAGCAGTTTAAAACTACTAGCCTAATTAAGGTTGTGTCAGATGCAATTAAGTTTAGAAAGAAGTAATTATGCAACATTTGCGCACCCATTTCCGTAAAACCTCAGTGTGCTTTAGTCTCCTCTCCTGTTAATGTGTTTAAAGGCTTCCTATAAACAGCCGGACCCGGGGTCAGTTTTAAAAGGTATTTTAAGAAGAGATGAGATTGTAAGTGCATCAGCTATTTTGAACAAGTGCAAGCTCGATTTGGAAATACGGAGCACTGACTGGATGGTCTGATAAGCAGGCAGGGAATGACTTTACAGAGAAGTGGAAAATCTGGAACAACAGATTTACACATTAATCACAGCCATCCACTAACCGATGAATCTCCCTTGTCAACAAGTTACACCCACAGAAAAAATAAACCTGTGTCTTTATAGAACAGAAGTATTAGGGATTTAGAGCATAACCGAATGTGAGGATTTAAGTAGAAGTACTGTGTGTGTGTATATGTGAAAAAAGTTGGATTTAGCCTTTTGTGTCTGTGAGAGATCGGCGTCTGTTGGGGCTGAAAGCTACGAGTCTGAAAATGTAAAAAATCTTGAGTTAGAAAGAAAGAAAGAAAGAAGTGAGATTACCAGACCTCCGCTTGAGGCTATATTAGCTGCGACTAACATAGCACACCTGAATTTCAGACCAAACTGTCAGCGGTTGAGCTGCATTGTGGGTAATGTGAGCAACGCGGGCAGCAGGTTTTTAGGCATGCAGTAAAAAAAAAAAAGATGATATCTCTGGTTCTGCTGCATCGATTTTCATCATTTTTGCTTTAAACTGTCCGTCATGTGTCCGTTAAGGTTATAGGAGCGCGACGCTGAAGGACTTTTTCAAAGAATGCAACGATGCACAATCATACTCCACTTTCGCTTGCGGATTTCGACTTCCAAAATAATCTGTAAGATGCATATTCTCACGCAAATATATGCACATAATATTAAACTGCTTATAAAACCCCATTTTTCAATTGATAGCATTACCATATCCAGGATATTTATGCACTAAAAAACAACAACAGGGCAACAGGAGGAGGAAAACATTTGAAGTCAGCAACAAAACAGACAGCCCATTATCAAAACTCATAGGTGCCAATTCACAAAAAAAAGTGATATACGAGCCCACTGTAGCATTACAGAACACTGTGCTGCTCCAATCAGCCTCTCCTCGACTGTCACTTCAAGGGTAAAAGCTACAAACCGAGCACTTACATAACAAGCTATTCCAGAGAAGGTCGGAATCAGCACAATGTTTGGAAGTCAGTACAATGCTGAAAACAGCAAAATCCGATATTTTTATTCTCATTTAAACTTCATGAATACACCCGACCCACTGTTACACTCAAGGGTGAAAGAGTCATCCCCCTGACGGTTTGTCAAATTTGACAGGAAACGCCAAGAGGATTTATTAAAAAAAAGCTGCTTTTTTAAACTTAATAAAAACACCAGCTTGCCTGCCTTGACGCCTGTCTTATGCACACATGTAAATGTGTTTTTGTTTGCGTGCGTGTGTTTGAGATTCCAGGCAGGCTGGCAGACAATGAGTGGAAGTGTTCCCCCGTCCACTGCGGCGTTTAACTGCTCAAACAGACCAAAGTGAGCGAGGTCTTGTTGTCCCAACAATAAGGCCTTGTGCTCCCTGAGCCCGAGCGTAAGGAGGTCAATGTGAAACAACAACACGCTGCTTCACGTCTCTGCCACAATTCAGCATCAAGCATCAGCTTTTGTTTGATTCTCAACCCAAACTCACAAGCCAGCAATTACTGAGCTACTATTTTAGTAAAAAAATCAACACTTCTTTGCTTACTTCTACAGAAAAGCACATTCCAATCTAGCCAGGGCTGAAATCACTCCCCATAGCAGATGAGTTGCTATTTTAAAAGCAGCAGCAGAGATTTGAATGAAACAGTGCGTAGCAAAGGTGTCTGACGTCTGTGTGGAGCACCTGTCAGCCTGAGCAGGTGTTTTGTCTGACTGGCTGCCTGGCTCAGTCCTCCACAAACACAGCTTAAAAATAAAGTAGGAGTAAAGCCGACATTAGACGCCAACGACTTATCTCGTCTCTGCACATACCACGCATTCCTGCGTTTGTTTTTGCAATAAAAAAAAAATTAAAATTAAAAAACAAGGTGTAAGGCAACCAAATTGCCCGTCACGATTCCACTGGGAACTTCCCCACTTCCTCCCACTTCCCATTTCCTCAACAGGACACCTAACATCTGCAAGCATCCCCTCGCTAACAGAGCAGAGACACACTAACACACATAATACACCGAGCTGCTCATGTGGGAAATCCTATTTTTGCCACCAGTCAGGGCGAGGCTCTGCCATACAGCACACAAAGTAGGGAAACTATAACAAGGGAGGGAGGGAGGCGGTGGAGGGCTGTCAGAGAACAAAGCGGAAGTGTCCTTCCCCCTGATGACCTGCGAGTTAAAAGCAAGAACACAAAGTGCTCTCTGTGCACATACAGTGCGATGCAGCTGTACCTCTCACCCATCACTGTGGGCATTACCAGTCGGACAAAATACCTGCAATGAGCACTGATGAAGAGTGGTGTATGTGGATGACCGTCCTTATTTCTCACTGTCCATTCAATATGTTTGGACTCTATTTACGTCATTTTGTTTCTCAATGAGTCTCCTGTTTTTGTCTAGTCCAGCAAAGGACATCTATTGCATGTCGGTGTATCCTGGAAGAGAGATCCGTCTGTTCCTCTTTAAGGTTTCCCTCTTTTTTCCCCCCACTAAAGGGTCTTTTTTTGGAGTGTTTCCTCATCAAATTGAGGGTCTAAGGATAGAGGGGTTGTACAGACTGTAAATATCTCTAAGGCAAATTAGTAAAATATGATTTTTGAGCTCAATATAACTGACTATACCTGCTCTTGCTGGCTGCTGGTTAAGGGGATGGAGCAAATTCAACTTCTTAATAAAAACTAGTGTATAATGGCACAACTATAGATCCAGGACAGTAATAAAAGCCCTGAACAATAGCTGGAGCTGGCTACAGTAGGAATATGGAGCATGAGGGATGGGTAGAGCTGCATGGAGGACAAATTCATGCAAACTGAATAAAAGGTGACCTACAACTGTCCCCTAACATAAATCTCTATAATTAAAAATGATCCTCATCCCATTGTGTAAATATAATGGAAGGCTCATCTAAGATATTTTATTTTAAACATACGGGTATTAAGGATTAATGCTTCTGGGGGAATACACTCCCAACCAGAGTCACTCACCTCCTCCAGGGCAGCCACTGTATTCCTGCAGTGGGACATCCTGGTGGTGAAGTTAGAGGCGGTCGGCGATTTATAATCTTCATTAGTCTCTGCCACAAACTCTGAAACTGTGATTTGGTCCGGCATAATTAATCCCTTTTGCTGATAAGAAGAAGCAGAAGCACTTTCTCTGTAATCTCCCCCTACTTTCTGGTTTGTACAGTTTTAGGACAGAAAAGTTCACAGCAGCAGCAGCAGCGGCGGTGGTGGTGGTGGTGTCTCTGAAGGTCCCCGCGGGTAGTAAACCATCTCTGGGTGTGTTTATGTCATTCCCTTGTTTAGCTCCCCGACAACAATCCGGTGCAGCGGTGTTTGCACGCTGGCTCAAGGAGTTGCAGCGTCGCACCGCGCTTTGCTACAAGGTGTAGTAGGTTATATCCCTCCTGACGT